TACATTTGTCATTTGCATGTCTATTAAAAATAATATACCTAGATAATAATTTCATAATTATTGTCACGTGCCATATTAAGCCGTGAACGTATACCTACAAAATATGTTGTTATTTTTTCTTTCTGAAAAGTATTGTTTTGTGGGACTTTGTTATATTATTATTAATTATGGATTCTATAATAAAAGCGTTTGCCCCCGGCCCAACAGAGTGCGAGCACTGAAAGCGAATGGCTCCACCCCCGCGAGCATGCCTATGAGCTGCGCATTTATGCACACACGGAAATTAAAGCTGCGAATTCCAGTAGGAGGGGTGATAAAATGTATCTGATTTTAATTGAGAAACATATCGAATATTATGTTTCAAAATCAAAAATGTGATAATCGGGGATAAACGCATGAAATATTCGGGTAGGTGAGGTTTGAAAAAATTGTATAATCTTTGTACCTAATGCCTATTGTTATACCTATATTAAATGTTAGGTAGGTACATAATTGGTATTTTTAATATTTTGTGGGGAGGTTAGCCCTTCGCGGCGAATGGTCCGGCGGCGAAAAAGTCCACGGCGAAGCTGTGCGGCGGCGAAACTGTCAGCGGCGAAATGTCCTAGACCCCATTTGTAACGTCACGGAATTTTCAGCCTTATAAATCATAATAACATTCCCCGACCACACCTATTGCTAACGTCGTTGACAAGTCAACGCACCTTAAGTCCTATAAACATTAGTAATAAAACGTAGATATCGCGCGCTAATGCACAAATGACCGCAATGTTATGCAATAAATGTTCCCCGTTCCCCCCTTCATCATGCAGTGTTCGTCACCGACGTGCCACGGTTGCCCGCCACCCGTCGCCTCCGGCGCTTTCGTCGCGTCCGCCGGCACGGCCCGCAGGCAATACTGTACTCCCACAATTTAATTGTAATAATCCCGCAAAAGTACGATACTGATTACTGACCTGCCCCACTACACCAGAGAAGCACCAAGTTCCGTCGACGGACTACGGCAAACCACCGTCGCCGACCGCTCGACACTTCGATTCGACTTTTCGTTCTCGACACTCAACTCTAGATTTCGATTTCGTTCTCGACACTCTACATTTCGTTTTCGAGCTCTACATTTCGACTTCGACTTTGTCTTCGTTTTCGACTTCGTCTTTCCACGTTTTCAACCCGGTCACCAGCCAAAATGATGGGCTAAGCCAACCACTACGGGCCCGAGGCGGGCGGAGCCAACACCACGTCGATCAACCATGTGCAGCTCAAAAGTCGTAACTATTCTTTCCCCTCTGTCCCCCCTTTGTAAAAGCACAATTTATCGACGCCGCAAGACGAGTCTTTTTTTTTTTTTCTTCCATTTTACTTAGCTGTCGCAAGCCGCTCACCTGAGCCCCAAAATTAAATAAAACGAACACCTTGTGCCTCACACTCTGTGCGAAGCGCGTTGTTTTTTCCGGTAACCCTGCGAGGACACGTCATCATGAGAAAAATGATGACGCGCCTCCCGTGGGCCGGAAAATACACGTGACTTCGTTACTCAAACAATGGTTTGCGACAAGTTCATCAAGTTTTCATTTTCCCTATTATATTTTTTGTATTTTCCATGTGCCACTTTATATATTATTTTGTTAAAAAGAAAAATGTTAAAATCTTTATTTAAATTATCTACAATCAAAAAACCTGTAAAATACGTCCACGTGATTACCCTAATACCACTCTTATTATTTATTTTAATCAACTTATTTTTTTTTTCTCTCTCTCCCAACATAAATCCTCGGCATTCAGCTTGCCGTTGCGTGTATCAAAGCCTGTGAGTTCCACCGACTTGACCCTCGGGTCTCACGCGGTGTGGCTCACAGGTCATGAGGAAAGTGTTCCCCTTTCCTCATGGGAGGTTTTGGTGATGTAGAAAATCACGAACTCTCGCATATGGCGACCGTGACAGGACTTGTCCTAAAATTCCCCTTATAATTCATAAACTGTTTTTTTTTCTCTTCTCTTTTCCCCGTAAAAATAACTAAAATTTAAATAATAAAATCTCTATAAAAATGACAAAATTCTCATATAAAAACTTAATAATTAACAAAATGAATGTGGCAAACATATGGAAAGTTTCATCTAAAATCTCCAAATCTAAAAGTCCCCTATAATAATTAAACATCTTAAATCAATCTCTATGTCCCTCCTAGTAACCTTTCCCCAAACCCAAACGTTTTTTAATTAAAACCAATTTTTTTCTCTCTATTACTCTTGTGCAAGAGAAAATATAAAATTAAAATTCTCACTTTACCTTTGGTAAGAAAAAAAAATATATTGTAACAATTAAATATGGCAAAATGATGCCCTACCAAGGTAAAATTAAATTATTATTATTTTTATTATATTTCCCCCCATACACAATTTTTATCCAACATGCTTTTTACAAAAATTGTTCCTGCTGGTGTGTGCTGGTCCTGGATGCGGCAGTGGCGTTTGTCGGTGACGGCTTGGCGGATAGCTGCGGCATCGAAATTCCGGACACTGCAATGACCCGTCTATCTCCCTTTATTATGATTATAATATTTTTCCCCTTGTAAACCCCCCCCCCCCCTATTATGTTCCCTAGACCCGTTTTTTCCTCCCATGCATAACCCTGTTATAGTGCGGAAACTAGGCGGGTGACCGTCGCGCGCCTGGTGGTAAATTTGAGTCAGTGTTTCCAAAAGACTACATTCCCGCGTAAAATAATTTTAAAAGCTTTGGAATTGTAATAAAAACTAAACATACGATATTTCTGTACGTAAAACTTATTATTTATTAATTATCACATTCTCTAACAAGTAAATAATATAATAGTAAAACATAATATTAATATTTTAATTTTTTACGCAATTATATAAGTATGTACATTTAAAAACTAATAACTAAGTAATGCAATTTAAAACTACTATAATGATATTTACATAAAAATTATTTTTCAGAATCAAAATAATCTCATCTTCATCTTCACTTGAACTGCTTTCGTCCGGATTAATGGTCAATATTATCGGTTCTAATATCTCATCCCTTAGTCCCGCCTTGACATAGTCCTCCTCCTGAATCTTGACGCAATGTTCTCCACATTTTACCCAGTCGTCCGGAGTAACTGCATCGATTTCTTTATGCACAAGTGTCTCGACATCTGCAATTTTGAATGTTGAATTTTTTTCAGCCACTCTGCCTTTAACTTGGGCCCAAATTAGTTCTATTGGATTATACTGACAGTGGTAAGGGGGAAGCCTTACCACTTCAAGACCCATTTGGAAAGTTAGTTCATCCAGTTTATATTTTTTTCCGCGTAGCATCGAAAGTTTCACTTTTTCCCGTAACTCGTCAAGTGTTTCTACGGGAGAAAAATCTATATTTTTATCCCGTAACCACCGTTGAACATCTGCTTTTCTACTGTTGGACTTCGGATAGTTCTCGGCCAACGAAGAATGAAACGACGCGTTATCCATAACAATGATACTCGGCTCTTCTAAGCTAAGTAACATTTGTGAAAACCAATTTTCAAAAATTGTGGCGTTCATTTGCGAATGGTAATCTTTGTCACCAGAATTACATCTAAAAATAAGTTTTGATTCTTTAATGAATCCAAAGGAAGGAGATCCGGCGTGGCATACGATGAGGCGACTGCCTTTGCCTGTAGGTACTTTTAAGCCTTCCGTATTTTCTTCATTTTGCCAAATACGTCCACGAGTATGATTTTGATTGACCCAGGTTTCATCTAAGTAGACTACCGGCCGAGTATCACCGTTCCTTCGAAACTCGTTCATTTTTCTAAGAAATTTAACGCGCGCAGCTACAATATCGGACCGTTCCATCAAGAATTTGCGACCGTCATTACATTTTTTGTACTTAAAATGAAGTTGTTTTAAAGTTATTTTCACCGACGATTTTGATCCACCGTAATTTAATTTTTCACGCAGTTCCAATAATATTTTAGCACTTGTTGGAAACTCACCCTTGTCGTAAAAGCTATGGACAACTCTTCTGACCACTTCATTGTCAAAATCATCTAATTCAGTGACAGTTTTCTCACGACTATACCTTTTTCGTGGTGATTAAAATTTAAGGTAATTTGGACTTACGACGCATAATGATTCATCTTGATTTGCTGTTGTTTTGCTTTCATTACATATCCGTTGTACAGTTCTCAGATTTACAGCACAAGCATCGGCCGTCCTCTCCTGTGATTGTAAAATAATCGGCCAATTCCGGCTTGTCTTTGCACTTAGCTAAGTTTTTAAAAAATATATACACGTTGTATATTGTGTTTTTCGTTTGGGAATGTATATCGGGTCGAATTGACATTTCGAAAAAATAATTCATACAAACGATTAATAAAAAAACACACAAAAAAATTAAAATATTGTACAATATTAAAACGGCCGTATGAAAAAATCACATTAAATTCAAACGATACCAAACAACACATGCACGAAGGGCAGAGGATCGCAGACTAACACATTATGGAAAAAACTGTTTCTGTACACAATTTGCTTTCAATAAAATAACAATAAGTACAATAAAGTCAATGGACCCTTAGGAAAAAAAACTACTAAAAACTACTAAAAAAAAACTACTCAAAATCCTTATTAGTCTTTTTGGACAAACTACTAAGAAATTTTAATAGTTAACTACAAAACGTGGTTAGTAGTTAACTACTAGAAAATTATCAGTAGTTTACTACTAGTGGTTAGTAGATTACTACTATAAAATAATCAGTAGTTTACTACTAGCAGTCAATAGTTGACTACTAGAAGATTGTCAGTGGTTTACTACTAGAAAATTGTCAGTAATTTACTACTAAAGGTTAGTAGAAAAAGTAAGTAAGACGACAGCTAAATGCTCCACAATTTATTAAAATTAAAAAATAAATTATTACCATAAATATATAATATACTAATTGAACGGAGTGTTAACGCTTGACACACACACACACATATATATATATAGAATATAAATTATAATTAATTATACATTTAAATGGTATTTGTAAGCCTGGTAGCTGAACCAGCATTGAAATTTAGGGCTTTTGGTTTCTTTGAAAAATTATTTAGTTTTGTTATTATAGCTTTGTTTATAATTTCATCAGTAACATCTCTGAAAATATCTTGTGCAAAATCTGAAATATCATAATTAGGTATAATATATGTATAACAGGATAATTGAGTATTTCAAATCTGTATAATTTATCTATTTATTAAAAAAAAATAAACATTGATACCTTTCATTGCCTTTACTTTGTGGACATCAAGCTGTTTTTTTAGTTCTCCACTTTTTATGAAATTACTTTTTTTGCCAGTAACCGATCCATTGCGTAGCTCATCGTCGGTGAATAAAATAATCATAAGATCCGATATCATTTTAGATGGACATTTACGGTTAATTGATGATAACGCGAATGAGTTAACTTCTATTCCTGATTTAAGCCAAAGTTCAACCCAATTTGGTTGGGATGTGTTGGATCACCCTCCTTACAGTCCCGACGTCGCCCCTAGTGACTTCCACATGTTTCCTGCCCTGAAAAAACATCTAGGAGGAATGAAATTAGCGAATAATGAAGAGGTGCATGAAGCGGTCATTTCGTTCCTGCGCGAGGCGGCGGGATCATGGTTCGAGGAGGGGATACAAAAGTTTGTCGTACGAATGAAGAAACTCATCGAAGTGAATGGCGATTATATAGAAAAATAGCTTAGATTTCAAGCTTTACAGCAATGTATTGAACTTTGTAAATACATGTTATTTAATGTGAACAAAATAAATGGAGACCTTACTTTAAATACACCCCTCGTAGAACAAATTCTAAACCAAATTTGTCTTATATAAAATAGTTAAATGTTCACAAATTCTATGCATTTTTTCTAGAATAAAAAAAATGGAGTCAACAGCAATGATATCTGAAGAAATTAACAAGATATTGTGTCAACTCAAAGCAAACAACCGTAGCATGGATGAAGACAAAGACTTCAGAAAAAAAATGAAAGATTTGAATATCAGGATTAAGAATGCTACTTTGAAAACAACCAGACATAAATTAAAAGAAGAAAAACAGGAATTATTAAATGATTTTAAAAGTTTAATTTATTCAACCTTTCTATGTGAAAGAAATATACAAAAAGGCTTGAGTATATTGTACGATAAATTAGATAGAATAGAATTAGAATATTATAGTCGTTGATACAATTCTGTTTTTCCGAAATAAAATCGATTAAATAAATTATTTATTATTTTATATTATAATTATATATCGAATGTTATTGAAATAAATTATAACCTATATCATTCCTGTGTATATAATATTCAATACTGTTTAAGTTTTATAATCGTTCAAATAAAACTAATTTAATACTGGATTGACTACTAAAATTCTTTTTTTCTTTGTAATAATTTAGAATTAATACTATTATTATATTTTGACAAAATATTTTAAATTGCTTACATAAAATTTAAAAAAAAAAGTTGATGTTATAATAAAATATCACAATATTATTATTATTGCTTATGCTTATGTTTTTATTTAATCTATTTTCAGTTTTACAATGAAAAGAAAAACGGTTACAAAACGTCAGCGGATGATGTCTTCTGATGAAGGTTTATTTGAAATTGAAAGATTTAAAAAATGTTCGAAAACATTTTTAATTAAGAATACTTTAGATTTTATAGACTACACGCTTTTTTTTTAACTATGTTAGAGATAAATTAATTTTAAAGTTAAAACAATCATGTTTACAATCATCTATAAAATTTAATTTACATGTGGATAGTGTATACGAACGAATAATTACTCAAGAAGTTCAGGACATAGCATTCAAAACTTCTAATACACTTGCATGTAATTCATCCGATTTCAATAAATTATTAAATAGGATGTTCGATAAATTATTATACGAGCAAGACCAGTTTTTAGCGAAAGGATCTGGGTGGTCTCTTAAGAGTATAGATGTATTGCTATTAAGAATTAATATAGTGAATCCCCTCAGGTTATGAACGTATATAGATTTACCTGAATATATGAAAGTTAAAAGAGCAATTATAAATGAAAAAAAAAACGATGGTAAATGTTTTAAATATTCAATACTATCTAAGTTTGATAATCGTTCGAATAAAACTTATTTTAAATAAAAAATATTTTAAAAATGTCAGAAAAAAAGTGGTTTAGATTTTAAATGTATTGATTTTCCAACCCCACATCAGTTAGATGAAAAAATTTGAACGTGTAAACGATGTATCAATTAATCTTTATAGTTTAAATGATAAAGAACATATTTTTTTCCTCTGTATATATGTGATACTGAAAGAAAAAAAACAATTTGATCTATTTTTGTTTAATAATAACGAAACATCACATTAATGTAAAAAAATTTTCAAGATTCGTTAGCACATGCTAATGCTAACCCATTTGAAAAAGGGCAAAATTTGTAAAGAAATATATAATTAAAAATCACATGCAATTTAATAATTATATGGATATACTAAACGCTTTTATAAATCATAGAACTCTCAAGGATGAACAAACTCATAGAAAAATGAATTTTATCCAATCAAATAAACATGTTGTTCATTCGAAAACAATGAACAAACTTGTTCTAAGTGCAAACGATAATAAACTTCATATAATGGATGACACGATAAATACTTTAGCTTATGGTCACTATAAACTTAATGGTTCAGTATAAAAAGCAACAAAAAAAGTTAATTGAATAAAAAGTGAATTATATTATACAGTGTATTCAAAAATCAATCACTGATATTATTTCACTTTTATTTATTTTTGAAAATATAAAAAAACAGTACTATATCATAAAGTTAAAAAATGAAAAAGAACATAGTCTCTTTGGCTGATGTCTGATTATTATTATCAATATTTTAAGTTTTAAAATTTAAGAAACTTTAATTAAATATTATATTAATAACATATTTTATGACTGGTCAGCTAAACTATTCAAAATAATAATAATAATAAAAACGTATAAAGATTACATTTAGCAAAAACAGAATAAATATTTTACTAACGGGTGTATAAGAAGTTGTCTATAGAGACCCCTTAATAAAAAAACTATTTATTAATACTATATTATTACCACATACTATATTAAAGAAGAATATTATTAAATAAGAAAAAAAACTACATATTACTACATATATATATATATAATTGAAATAGAGTTGTTCGATATGATATTAACCGTCAACCATCAGAATCAATAGAATTAATTAAAATTGAAAGATTTAAAAAAAAAATGATCTAAAAAATGTTTGATTAAGAATATAGATTCCATACTATACAAGTTGATTATAAACTTTTTTATTAAATAATTGTTAAAGATAAAATAAATACTATACTAAAATTAAAGGATAAAAATATAGAAGTATTATTTATTTTCATTGATTAATTTTGCCGCTAGATGGTGCTTTTTATATCGATTGTTATATCGATTGATAATTTTGTGTAATTTTTGGTAGTGTATTATACCAATTTCATGTACCAGTAGCAGTAAAATGTCTATATATATTATTCTTAATAGATCTGATCACGCGTTCCGCGATTGAGCATTTAATAACACTGTATGAAGTGTAATGTTTAATTTTGTATTTTTTCATTAAATCTTGAAATTGAGCATTGTAAAATTCTGTACCATTATCTGTCTGTAATAATTTCGGATGAGCTTTTTTCAATATATTAAACATACCTTTTGTACATTCTTTCGATGTTTTATTTTTCACGCCTCAAGCCATACGTACTTACTATATGTATCTATGACAACTAAAATATACTTAAAACCATAATTTTGTTTAGAATGAGATTGCATGTCCATTAAATCAGCTTGCCAGAGGTCATCAATAAACCGCGTTACTACACTGCGTCTAGGAAATATTTTTCTCGCTGGCCGATGTAACTCATTAGCTATACTCTCTAAGGTAGTCATTATACTATAATATTTCTCTCACGTAGTTCTTCTAAAATAGATATTATTTCATTATTCACACCAGTATTACCAACACTTTGTGATGATGTCAAAAGATTTAATCTAGTTACTAGCTCATTCGGATCGTCATAATAAACTAATTGGGTTTGAGGTAAGACATCTTTATATAAACCAGAACCTTTCATAGTCTTTGGTGATAAAGTAAAATTAAACATCTTTTCAACTACGGGATTTGTAGACATGGAACTGTTTGCTTCTGGATTAAAATCAAATGGTTCAAATTCTTGTGCTATTTTTCTGCGTTTAGCTCTTAAACTATATAAATGATTGTTAAATGATTTTAAATTAATTCGGGGAGTTGTATTCTCATTAATTTTACTTATTTCTTCGTTAAACTGTTTTTCCTCCATTTTCATTCGATCATACAGTGGTTTTACAACAGTCACCCATTTATGGTACCTCGAGGTTCTAGGTTTTCCATCTGCTTTTAAATGGACTCCACTAGTTTTCAAAATATTGTAATAAGATTCTATATCTGCTATAGTTGTATTTTTTGGTTCCTTCTCACATAATAAATACCATAGTCCTGGTGTAAATTGGTAGTATTTATTAAGCAACAGTAATTTACCGTGACTAAAAGTAACAGAATGTTTTCCTATTTTATATGAATCACTATCTTTATCATAATACATACCATAAGATTTATCATAACGTGTTGATTTAGGACGGTTATTTAAAAAATTTTCATATGATGAATTTAATTCATCATCATTATCTTCTTCACTAATGCACGGGGTTTCTGATTTATTTTCTAGTTCAGTTGACCGTGTGTTACATATTACATTTTGTTTCACATGTGTACTCAATGGTTCAATTATCGGCTTAAATGCCTCACGGAAATAGTTTTCAGAATCTATAACACCACGTTTCATTTCCATTATTTTTCGTTGTATATTTTTTTTTGATGTTATTAAATTTTCCAACAAGACTTTTTCTTTGTTCATTGTAAATAATAAATGCAATATACCTGTATCGTATGACTACTGATGACACTATGCAGATAATAACTGTGTGACGGTATATTTATATCAACACATACAATTATTTTATTTTAATGAATGTATGAAAACCGCATCTATACCTTCCTTCATTCATTTCTCGAGTTTTATCGATAACCATAAACCCATAATAGCTATGATTCCAGCATAAATGAGAAATTTTCCGAAATTCTGAGAAATCCATATCTGCAGACGAATGATCGTTGAATATATGTCGTAAATTTGTATCATCTTGTTTCAGTATTATTAAAAAGTTTGCGTTATCTCTTACAAGCTGTTTTGATATTTTAGAATATGTCTGTGCTAAATAAAATACGGAGCTGGCACCTGAATGCCTACCAATGCTAAAGTATTCTCTGATTACAGATTGTGGGCCGCATATCACATCATCAAAAATTATAATAGATTTTTTCTTCGTTAAGTTTGGTTTTATAACCTTATCAGCGCTTGTAAATATGAAAAAATTAGCACCTTTTATATCATCTATTATTTTTTTCAATAAAACATATTTTTCCTGATTAGAGGTTTTCGAGTATAAATAAATATTTTCAAATCTTAACCCGTTTGCATGTGTGATCAGATTAAACATTATATTTGTTCTTCCTGAACATTTGTAACATCCAATTTATCTTTCTGTTCTATCAAATCCATATTATTTTCTTATAAATACTCTAGAATTTTCCAATTTATAGTCAGTTATAGATGG